TCTCTCTCTCTCTCTGTTTTTTGTGCATGCGCGCCCCGACGCGCCTGTTTCTGTGTTTTGGGTGCGTGTAGTCACTGACGTGACGGACAAGATTTCGTTCGAAGACGGGGCTCCGGAGAGACTCCCCCCCCCCCCTCCAAGGCAACCGCAGGTATGTATAGTTGTTGGTTTGTTCCCTATCCTATCCTGACTGACACTATTGGGAGGTCACGTAGGACGTCCCATGGGACACGTGGGACATCCCGTGGGACGATTGGGACTCTCCTTGACTCTTTGGGAGGTCACGTGGGACGTCCCACGGGATGGCCCATGGGACGACCCGTGAGGATGGCAAGTGGGACGCGTGGGACGTCCCACTGCGTCGTTCCTGGGGCATCCCACGCGTTCCATAGCCGGACGGGTAGACGCACAGACAGCAAGCGGGGGCTAGCAGTGTTTTCTCACCCATGGCGACTCATTACACTTAATGCGTGTTTTATGGGTTAGCCCAGACGTGTCCCTTGGGCGATGGCCGCCCATGGGGCGTGTGGGACGCCCGTGGGACGGCCCATGGGACACGTGGGGGCGCCCATGAAATTTCGGGCCTGACTGATTTGGAATGCACATGGGACACGCGGGAAGTAGCATGGCACGGCCCACGCGGATGGCTCATGGGACGCGTGGGATACCCCGGGCGTGACATTATTGACATTATTGGGAGTTTATATAGGACGACCCATTGGACACGTTGGACGTCCAATTGCTGTCCCATGGGACACGTTGAACGTCCCATTGGACACGTTGGACGTCCAATGGCGTGAGCGTAAGGGGCACGTCGTTGGACATCCCACGAGGGTCCCATTGGACGTCCCACTTCTCCATTGGACGTCCCACGTATCCCAATCGACGTCCAACGTGTCTCATTTTACGTCCATTTGTTGTCCCATGGGGCGCCTCGGACATACAATTGGACACGGTAGACGTCCCGTGGGACACGTGGGAACGCCCATGAAGTGTTGGTCCTAACTGATTGGGAATCCCTATGGGACGCGCGGGACGGCCCATGGGGCATGTTGGACGTCCAATGGCTCCCAGTCCAACGTGTCCCAAGCGCGTCCGAAATAGCAACAGCATACGTAGGACTAACGTAGGGCGCATACACCTTCGTCTATGTTGCTATTTGTTCGGGCCGGTATATTCATACGTGAAATGGGCGTGTGAGTGGTGTCCCAACCGTCGTCCCAGGCGTCCCATGGGACGTCCAACGTGTTCCATTGGGCATCCCACGTGTCCCATTGGACGTCTCATGGACGTCCCGTGCGACACGACGGGACCCATGTGGACGCCCGTGAAATGTTGGTCCCTGACTTGATCGGGAACTCACATGGGACGCGTGGGATGCGGCATGGGACCGCCCACGCGGACGGCTCGTAAGACGCGTGGGACATTCGGGGCCGGGGCGTGACATTATTGAGAGTTCATATTGGACGTCCCATTGGACGCGCGGGACGTCCAATGGGACACGTTGGACTTCCAACTGCTGTCCGATGGGACGTCCAACGTGCCCCGTGGGACAGCAGTTGGACGCCCCACGTTGGACAGCCATTGGACGTCCAATGGGACACGCTGGACGTCTAATGGGACGCTTGAGACGTCCCATGGGACACGATGGACAGCAGTTGGACGTCCAACGTTGGACAGCCTTTGGACATTCAATGGGACACGCTGGGCATCCTACGGGACGTGTGTGACAGCTGACGTGTGCCTTAATATACCACCAACTTCCCACGGCGTCCCAAGCAATGTCGTGTCCAGGCAGATGGGCACCGTCGGTGCTAGTAAGGGCCTTCCCATTTCCCCGACCGATTTGGGACGTGGGACGCACGTGTAGCATGGTCGTTCCTCGCGTCCGACTGGACATCCCGCGGGAGATCTCACGCGTCGCAAGGGATTGGATGTCCAATGGCCGTCCCACGGGCGTCCAACGTGTCCCATTGGACGTCCCACGTTTCCCATGGGACGTCCCACGTGTCCCATGGGACGTCCGAGATATCCCATGTGACCCCCAATGTATCACCCACGCCCCACGTCGACCCAGGTAATGCCATGCCTAGGCGCATGGGAACCCTCGTTGCTAGTATTTAGAAGGACCTACCCACTCCCCCTACCGATGAGGGACGTGGGACGCACGTATAGCATGGTCGTTCCTCTCGTCCC